AAAAAAAGAAAGAAAAGAAAAACACATTGCTCACTTTGTGCTAGGTACCATTCTAAGTACTTAAGAAATATTAATTTAAAAAATCATAAAATCTTCATAATATCTGAGATAAGTACAGTTATTTCTATTTTACAGATGGAGGAACTGAGGCAGATTAAGCAGTTTGCCGAAGGACACACATCTGGTTGTTGCAAAAGTGTCAACTCAGCCTGGTGCCAGGGTCCAAGCTCTTTTTTTTTTTTTTTGGTTTTGGTTTTTTTTTCCGGTACTGGGAATCAAACTCACGACCTTGTGCTTGCCAGGCAGGCGCTGTACCGCTGAGCTAAATCCCCAGCCCCCAAGCTCTTAACAGTGTTTTCATTGTCACTTTATATAGGGAGCAGCTAAGGTTCAAACAAGTTAGGTGACTCGGCCAGTGGCATAGAGCTCTAAGTGAGAGGTCAAGGGGGAAGGACGGATATGTCGATGAAAGGACTTTGCAGGCTGTAGTGATGAATACTGCATCGTTTATATCTTGCATTTGCCCTCGCGCCTGTGTCAGGCTCCTTGCACGGTGCCAGGGATAGTCTCCAGGGCTGGGGTGTGATAGGATCAGCCACTGTTTGTTTAGGCGTTTCCTGTGTGGCAGGAAGGGGTTGACTCTCTGGCAGCTGTTTTCTGGCAGAAAAGTTGCTTCCTCCTGTTTTCCCAGCGCCCATGCCTGCCTGGAACTAACCCGACCATCACCCTCATTCTCTTAACCCCTGGAGGCTCTGTGTAGCCAGCACAGAGCAGCGGAAGACTGCTCCCTGGGTGTCCTGCCTGTGCTCTTGAGTGTCTGACCTGTTGTACTTGACTCATTCTTTGGCTCCATTGACCTTACTTACATCTTGCGTTTCCATCTCACCCTGACTGCTGCTCCTCATTCTCTTGCAGTTTCTATGTGGTCCATCCTTAAATGGCGGTGTTCTCAGGAGGCTGAGGCAGGAGGATCACAAACCAATGACAGTTTGATTAAACAGTGAGTTCCAGGCCAGCCTAGATTGCAGAGTGAGGCTCTGATTTTTTGAGACAGGGACTTGCTATGCAGTTTAGGCTGGCCTCGAACTCGCAAGCTGATCCTCCTGCCTCAGCTTCCCAAGTGCTGGGATTACCGGCATGCGCACCATGCCCAGCTGGCCGTGTTTTAAAAACCAAACAGAGCTGGGCATGGTGGTGCACGCCTGTAATCCCAGCACTTGGGAAGCTGAGGCAGGATTGGCGCAAGTTCGAGGCCAGCCTGGATTACATAGTTGGTTCGGGGCAGCCTGAAGTATACAGCAAGATCTTGTGTCAAAAAACAAAAACAAAAACAAAAATCCAGAACATACACAAAACAGTAAGCCCTGTCCTTCCTCGTTCCCTGAAGGCAGAAACCTTCCAAAGTTTCATCCTAAGAGTCCTCTGTCCGTTTCTGGAGTCCCTGCACCTGCCCTAGAGGTCCAGAGTGGATGTAGCTTTTGTTCTTTCCCAGTGTGTTGGGGCAGGGGGTACAGCTCAGTGGTTCAGTGCTTACCTCATAGGCCAGGGACCTGGGTTCAGTACCATTAAAAAAATACTGACCAAGGGGCTGGGGATTTAGCTCAGCGGAACAGTGCCTGCCTGGCAAGCGCGAGGTCGTGAGTTCGATTCCCAGTACGGGGTGTGGGGGTGTGACCAACCTCCCACCTGCTGCTCCTCCCTGCTGGAGTGAGCGCAGCACCCACCCTCCCAGGGTCCCAGGCCACCACAAGAACACGCAGGTCGCTGCGGCTCTTCCCTCTGCCCTGCCGTGAGGGGTTGCCGAGTTCTGGCTGTTCTGCCTCCTAGGGATGCTGCGCTTCTGTCCTTGTTGCTGCTGCCCTAAAGCCATTGTCATCTTCATTTGGATTGCAGTGGGGTGGGACCTGATCTCCCTCCACTGGGTGGATGCCTTTCAGCTCTTTCAGCCTGCTCTCTGCAGCTGAAATTTTTTTTCTTTTTGAGACAGGGACTTGCTATGCAGTTCAGGCTAGCCTCAAACTTGCAGTGATCCTCCTGCCTCAGCCTCCCAAGTGCTGGGATTACAGACCTGCACTAGCACGCCCAGCCCTATAATGAAATTCTTTTTTTTTTTTTTTTTTCCGGTACTGGGAATGGAACTCACAACTTTGTGCTTGCTGGGCAGGTGCTGTGCCCCTGAGCTAAATCCCTAGCTCTTACAGTGATATTCTGAAGATGCCACTTAATTGTTTCAGACTCCTTAAATTGGCCTGGGACAGCTGTGCCAGCCAGTCCTGCCCACCCCTTTGGGTGAGGTGCCCCTGGCACCTGCATTCCTAGCCCCACCCCACTGTCCTTGACGCAGTGCAGTGCTTAGCAGGACTGTCCTGTGGCTTCTTGTCTCAGTGACTTCTCCACTGAACTGTAGTGGGGACCAGCGTTTGCAGCCTGTGTGGTACCATGGGGCTCTCGGGAGAGTTCTATCACAGAGTATATTTAACTCTTTCCAAGAGCTTACCTCTGTTTATTTATTTATTTTTGTCCTTTTGAGACAGGGTCTTGCTATGCAGTTTAGGCTGGGCTTGAACTCACTTTGAAGCCCAGGCTGGCCTTGAACTCACAGCGATCCTCCTGCCTCAGCCTCCCAAGTGCTGGGATTACAGGTGTGCGCCACCACGTTGGGTTATTTCAGAATTTAAATAGAGTCGATTTGCACTTGCAGAATTGCTCAGCTTTAGTAGTGCACTATCTCGACTGTTGCTTGCCCTTTTATCTCAGAAGAAGTGAGGGACTCTGAGTGCTGTTTCCCTATGTGTTTGGTTGCTCTTGGCGGCAAGCAGCTTTGTGCAGAGGGGGGCTGACCCGATAAGAGTGTCTTGACCTAGCTGGCACCAATGAAAGAAAAGAACAAGTTAGGTTAGATTTTTTTGATATTGAGAAACATCCCGTAGGCAGTGTATGAGAACTGGGAACAGAGCCCGGATGTAGCTCAGCAGTGCAGCACCTGCCTGGCAACATGAGGTCCCGAGTTTGATTCTGGTACCAAAAAAAAAAAAAAAAAAAAAATGGAATGAGTTTTCAAAAGACAGTGCTCAACCTTATGAGTCCAGGATTGGACTCATGCAGATTGAGATGAGGCACTACATTTTAAAAAATATTTAAATTAGTAAAACAGTTAACAAACTGCTTGATACATGTGAAAATCAGTGTCCTAAGGGTGAAGTGCCTTGTCAGTGGTCATGCAGGTTGATACTGTTTTTGGAGTAGTTTGTCAGTAGATGTTGCATAATTACAAGGCGCATACTCTTTCGTTGACTATCCTACTTTTCAGAACCCCTAAGGAAATATCTATACTGTGGGAAAAACCAGGATTCGAGAAGAGGATTCTTTCAAAAAATTTTCATTAGTGCATGTTTCAGTACATAATGTTTTCTTTCTGTCTGTGGAGTTGGTACATGTATGTAACACATCTTGTAATTGTTATTATCGCTATTATTATTAGTTACAGTGCTGGGGTTTGAACCCAGGCCTTGTGCATGTTAGGCAAACGCTCTGCCCCTGAGAACTCAAACGCATGAGTCCAATCCTGGACTTGTAAGGTTGAACACTGTCTTTTGAAAACTCATTCCATTCACTCCTTTTTTTCTTTTGGTACCAGGAATCGATCTCAGGACCTCACGTTCCAGCCCCATAACACTTTTTTTTTTTGGTCTTTCTGAGACAGGGTCTCGCTATGCAGTTCAGGCTAGCCTTGAGCTCACTTTGTAGCCCAGGCTGGTTTCAAACTCACACTGATCCTCCTGCGTCAGCCTCCTGACTGCTGGGATTACAGGCGTGCGCCATCATGCCCCTGAATTCTCTAGTTTTGAGTTAAAAATCTACATAAATTATACATACCAGTTTTAACAAAAAAGTTATATTCTTAAATAATGAAAAAATAATTCTTTGTTAAATATGGGTTTGGCTAATCAGAAATACCTGTCATAAAGCTCAGGGGTGGGCTGCTGGCCTAGCTTGTGCAGGGTCCTGGGTTTGAATCTCGGCAGAAGTAAGGAAGGTGGGAGGGACGGAGGGAAGGAGAAAGATATCCCATGCCTTTGTTTTTGAGTTTCTCCTACACCCTGGTGATCGAGGATGAGTGTCTCTTCCCTCCCTTTGCTTTTGTGCCTCCTGCAGTGAAAATTCTCTTCTCTCTCTGTGCAGAGCCTGCCTACCTTCGGGTTCCTGCTGGACATCGACGGAGTGCTGGTGCGGGGCCACCGAGTGATCCCAGCCGCTCTGGAAGCGTTTCACAGGCTGCTGAACCCTCAGGGCCAGTTACGGGTGCCTGTGGTTTTCGTCACAAATGCTGGGAATGTCCTGCAACACAGAAAAGCCCAGGAGCTGTCAGCCCTGCTGGGGTGCAAGGCAAGGAGACAAGCAGAGGCATGGAAACCCAACGGCGGTTCCACTGGGAAACCCCCCTCCAGCTCTGCCCCACTCCCTTTCCCTGGGTGGGGGTACAGTGTCAGCAAGCCCCAGCATGGCCAGTGGAAATCTTTCAGTCCTGCGGGAAGGACTTGATGTTCAAGCGAACCTCACTGGGAGGGTCTTACACGCACGTACATGCACCCACCCACACACCCACACACCCCAGTCGAGTGAGCACAGAAGCCTGTCCTTGTGTTTGGCAGTGTTACTTTATCATAGGCACTTCTTCTCTTCTGGCCATCAGGGTTGTGTCTTTGGGACTCTCGCCCCTGGGGTCGTGTCTGCCGAGGCTGCATGTTGGAAGTGGGCTGTGCAGTCGGGCCGGCCTTGTGTGGGTAAGTGGTGTGCATCGGCGTGGCGTGACCATTGTCTGAGAGCGGTCTGTTGTCACGCCACACGCTTCCACACCACAGCCCAGCACAGATGTGTTTGAGTTCGTAAGGGAGAGTTCAGATATTGGAAGGAGTTCAGATTTTGGAAGTGAGAGAGCTGATGAAGTGGCTGGTTATTTGGGTGATTCTGCTTGAGGTTTAGTGCAGAGTAAAGGAACAGAACTGCTTCCCTGCTGTGCTTTCGAGTACGGGTTCCGGAGCCTTCTGAGTAAAGGCTGCATGGATGGAGCAGGTATGAATGTTAAAGAGTGTCACGTGGCTCTAAAGATAGACAGCCAAAGTCTAGGCGCATTTCTGACTGTGACAAGGAGCATACGTGCAAACCGGTGGTTTCCCCATGAGAAACTAAAGGGAAACTAAAAGGCTGAGAGAGCTAAAGGGATCAGCAGGCGGAACACAGCTGGGCTGGTGAATGGCCGGATGCCGATTTTGTTTTGTCTTGTGTGGCAAGAAATGAAAGAAGGCCGGGGATGTAGCTCAGTGGTATAGCGCCTGCCTGGCAAGCACAAGGTCCTGAGTTCCATTCCCGCTACCAAAAAAAAAAAAGGACCAAAGAAGCAGTCTTCTTATGCTTGGTTAGATATTTTTTACAAGTATCAACGGCCTGAAAGGCTGTACCCCTCTATTTCTGGGCAGTTTTTCCTTCTCAAGTAAAAGAGCCTGCCACTGCCTCGCCATTATTTTCTCTCAACTCTGTCTTTCTCTTCTGTCCCCGGTCTCGTGGTTGTGCCTGCAGGTGGAGCCAGACCAGGTGATCCTCTCTCACAGCCCCCTGAAGCTGTTTGCTCAGTACCATGACAAGCGGATGCTGGTGTCCGGGCAGGGCCCCGTGGTGGAGAACGCCCGAGCGTATCCTTTGGTCCTCTGGCTCGGCTGGAGGGGGAGGGGCAGGAGTGGGTCCTCCCTGCTTGGCTGCGCCGGGAGCGTGGCGTGGTGTGCCGGGTTCAGGGTGCAGGCGTGCATGGCATGCGTGGCGTGCTCTTGGGGTCGAAGGGGGCCTGTGGGTAGCCCTCTTGTCCGGTAGCTCTGGAAAGCCGGTCCACATGTGACACCAGGTCTGCAGAGCTTCAAGTGCCGAGTCTTGGGCCTTACCCTTGGCGGGAGTCTGGATTCCCAAGACCTAGGGTGGGTGTCAGGAATCTGTTGTGGGATGGAACCCAGGGCCTTGTGCATTCTGGGCAGGCACTCCAGCCCAGCCCAGGAATCTGCATTTTAAAGACAAACAGCTGTCCAGGTGACTCTGTAATTGGCTTTGGGAAGCACCGCCCTGGGCCTCTTGCCGGGCACTCTGAGCTTGTCAGCTGCGGTGGTGAGCGGGCAGCTCCTGGTGGGCCCGCGTGCACTCAGGAAGCAGAGGGCCTGGCCCCTGTCTGGGCACCTCCTTGGCATCATGCTGTGCTGCACTTTAAAGGGCACAGGAGACCAAGGTGGGGGCATTGGGACTGCGACTTCCTCAAGGCTCAGGCTTGAGCAGGAAGACCACATACCCAGGCACAGTATAGGGGCGTTTACGATGGCGTAAGGTGAGCTGGGCCAGTAGCTGGGTGGCAGGGTGTCTGCCTGGCATTCAGGAGGCCCGAGTTCCATCCCCAGCACCACAAGGGAAAAAATAAAAAGATAGCACATGACTGCAGCTACAGAGTGGGGTAGGTCGTCCTCCAGGGGAGAGACCGTCCCTGGCAGGCGTGGCCGGTGGCTTCCCGGAGGGTTATGGCTGTGCCCCAGGAGGCAGCTAACGTTCCCTGGCAGGTAGGGGATTGGAGGACAGGAGGAGCGGACGGGCTGGGAGACCTTGGCGCGCACTCGGCGGTGGGGAGTTGCAGAGGCCTCACCGCCGAGGTGTGATCTGGGGTCCTCCCAGGCCGGGTCCAGTGAGGACTGCAGGAGGGAACTGGGCACCGGGAGCTGGAGGCCGGTCTCAGGAGAGAAGGGCTGCACTGGCTTGGGAGTCTGTGCGAGTTGATGTCCTGAAGTCCTGAAGATTTCAGCTCCTGTCCAGCGCCCCCCAGGCTCTGTCTGTCTCCCACGCCGAGGTGTCCTCTGAGCACAGCACTGGGCCAGCACTGTCCTGGAGCGCGGGTCTGGGTGGGCTCTGAGCGTGTGGTCTGCCGTGTGAGCACAGTTATGTGCCTTTGTGCCCTGGCCCTGCCTCTCGGGGGACCTGGCATTGCCCGACAGCGAGGCCTGTGCTACCTGGTCTGGCACCCGCCTGCCTCGGGTGGGCAGTGCTGTCTGCTTCCCCTTGCTTGTGCTCTGTGCGTTCAGAAAGGCGCCTTCCGCGGAGTGTCCGCTTTGCTTCCTGATCTGCCTTCAGCCTGGGCTTCCGGAACGTGGTTACCGTGGAGGAGCTGCGGATGGCCTTCCCTGTGCTGGACATGGTGGATCTTGAGCGGCGGCCGACAGCCACGGTAACGTGGAGTACAGGCTGGGTCACATGGCCCTCCACGCCTCTGGGGTCTCCGCATCACGTCTGTCCTGCTCCCTCTGCTGGCTTCCCTTGCCGACCTCGCCACCCTCCTGCTGAGAGCTGTTTTGTCTGTGCGTCTGAGTGTGGCCTCCTTGGAGAGGTGTGTCTGGCCAGGCGCTGTTCTCTAGATGGGTAGGAGTGGCGGGCTCCCAGCCGGTGCCCTTCCGGGTTGTTTGTGATTAGCTGGGACCTCTCCAGCATTTCCTCCAGCTCGGCTTCGTATGTACCGGCCGGCTTCGCCAGTGTAGCTCAGGAGAGTCCTCAGCCTTCGCTGAACTGCTCACCGCTGTGCCTTACCCCGAAGCGCAGGAAGGAGCTGCCCTGTGAGCGCCGGCTCGCTGCTGAAGGAGGCCTGGGGCTTCTGCCCGCCTGCCCGTGTGTTTTGGGGTTCAGCTCATGTCAGAACATCGGCTTGGTTTCCGTGTGCTTTATTTGTGCTGTGGAACTTACGTCTTAAGTCACACCGCCCTCAGAATTCATGAAACGCACAGGCATACTTCTACTTACGTATGTATGAGGCCTTCCCTTCCCCGGAGTTCTCCAGTTGCAGAATGTGTCCCCTTCTCCAAGGCCTTTCTGTGGAGAGCCAGAACGTGGGGTAGGAAGAGCCTCAGAGCCTCTTGAGGCCTGAGCCCCGCAGAGGTCCAGCCCAGGTCACAGAGCCATGTGGTGGGAGAGCCAAGGTTGCAGTGACCTGGGCTGGGATGCACCCCAAGAGGCAGGGAAGTGAAGGCTTTACCTACTGACTGCTGCCACCACCAGGCCCTGAAGGAGCCCTCCCACCTTTGTCTTTAGCTCGTGGGCTCCAGAGACATGTTTTTCTTTTGAGACAGGGTCTCACTACAGAGCCCAGGCTGGCCTCAAACTCATGGCGACCTTCCTGCCTCAGCTTCCTGAGTGCTAGGATTCCAGGCAAGCACCACCATACCTGGATGGCTCTCGAGACTCTCGCTTGGCCCATGTCTTTCTTCCTCTGCCCTCAGGATGCTGTCCCTGAGCTCGGGCTGGGGCCACCTGGATGTTGTTTGGGAATCTCCTTCCTGGGACCCGTGCAGCTTTCCTTGCATGGGGCTGGCGGGTGGGTGGTCTCTGGCCTGTGGAAGGCGCTTCCGTGCCCGCCTGTGGAGACAGGCTTTTCCCCGAGGGGATGGTGACTTGATTGACGCCTCTTTGTCTCTTGACAGCCCCTGCTGAGGAGTGACTTCCCAGCCATTGAAGGTAAAGAGACCGCCTAACGTGAGTGCAGGGTCCTTTGCTCTCCCCCTGCAGGCCCTCCGCTGCGTTAGTGTGACTCTCCGTCCAGCCTGCAGAGGGAGTGGCGGGGGCGACCTTGCAGAGCGCACACCTGGGCTGCGGTCCTGGGTCTGCCACCCCCACCTGGGGGTGTCCGCTGCTCTTGCCCTCCCATGCCACTAGCCTTGTTAGGTGGGAGAATCAGAAGCTTCGAGACTCTCAGGTTGAAAAGTACCCAGACAGTCTTCTTCAGTGTGCCTCAGCCTTGTCAAAGCCAGTTCTTCCTCGCACAGCAAAAAAATGATTTTCCCCTTTACAGTCCTGCGATGAAATTCATGGGTGATGCAGCTTTTCCATAAATGTATTTTAAAAAGTATCTAGTTAGGTACAAAACCTTACCTACAATAGGGTAAAATAAAAGGAAAACATTTTAGTAAGATCACAGTGTTTTGGCAAGTGTAGGGGCATAAGCCTGTAATTCCAGCATTAGGGAGGCTGAGGCAGGAGGATCATTGCAAGTTTGAGGCCAGCCTGGCTACACAGTGAGTTCAAGGCCAGTCTGGACTAGATAGGAAGATCCTGTCTCAAAACAGTAACAACGAAAGATTACAGTGTTTGGATAGGTAATAATTTTCCACTAAGTGAAATGATTGCACGAAACACAGGCTACTGTGAATGTTTCAGATACATGTGCAGCCTGAGTGTGTTTATACTTGTGATATAGTGTGCTCCCGGGGCAGCATTGCCGTGGGTGAAGGGAATGTCCACAGTAGAAAACAACTTTTAGTAACGTTTTAAGAAAAAGATAGATGCTGGGCATGGTGGTGCATACCTGTAATCCCAGCCCTTAGGAGGCTGAGACAGGAGGATCACTGTGAGTTCAAGACCAGCCTGGGCTACAAAGTGAGCTCAAGGCCAGCCTGAACTGCATGGTGAGACCGTCTCAAAAAAAAATGAAAAAAAGAAAAAGATAGTTATACTACTAATTTTTCTTAGTTCAATGAAAAGAAAGGTTTGTGCTAATATTGTTTGGACAGTTAAATGC